GCCTCTTAAAGGAGTAGTCTTTTCAAGATGTGCCACAGACTCGGAACAGACCGGAACGATTACTCAGAGTGGCACTGGCCGTTTGTTATCACTGCCACAGCTGACAGCCCGGTACGCCGGGAGAAATCACTTTGCCTGCGAGTGGAGTTTGTGGCTTTGAACAGCCATAGCTACATATCTCGGGAGCAGCTAAGACGGTGACCTGCAGTCGGGTATCTGCCAGGAATCTGGGTGAGGAGGTTACCTGCCTTCATGGCAGCGGTAGAGCTGCTGTCTTACCATAGCTTAGGCACTCTCTCTATGGCAGTAACAACTTTGTGTATATTTTCCAGGCCCCTCCGGCAGCTGTTTACTAATTTCGCGGTCAGCCTGCTGGTCGGCCTAGGTAAGTTTGTAGTCTGAAAATTCTATTACCTAAAATAAACAACATAATAATTATTCATTTGCTTACTTATGCAGTAGTTATGAAATATTCTTCCCTCCTCAGTTTCAGCTTTATAAAAGACATCTAGTGTTTTAAAATATCTCGTTTCTTGGGGATACAATACTCCTTTATGTGGAAAGGAAATAACTTCGATGATTAAGATCTATGAAACAGACTATTTCTATTCAATATTTCTTAACATATCTGCTTTTTTAGTAATTTCAAGATTGTAGAAAAATCTACTGAAGCTCTAAATCGATAAGTTCAAAATCGCTACTGCTTATTATTCCACTCTTTGGGTGCCTCACTGTAGCCACTTGACTTCTATAGGCGAGTTATAATGAAACTGTGCGAGTGCTGGGGGCTGGTCATTGTGCCCCATTCCTTGCCTGATCCAATCAAGCTCTGAGCTCGCGGCCACATTGCAATTTTATTAGAGCATAAAATCCCGCAGATGGGCCTGAAATTACAGAGTCATGCCGCCCACATTATACATTCAGAGGGGGGCTAAGGACACACACCCGGCTCCTTGTTTCTAAGCCACCCAGTGCCTGTCCCCATCCATCCTCCACCCACAGCCACCTCCCACCATCAGTTGCCTACTTTCGGGCGTCGCCTGGCTGTTCTGCTGTCTCGCCTCGGGCGGCAAATTTACGCGCAGCACAACAAATAACAACTAAGTATTTATTATGTAAATAATATTATGCCAAATGCTCGCACAGAGCGAGCATAGAGTGAGGGAGACAAGGGGCCACACTGTACAACACAGTGGAGTTTCCGCTTAAGTTTCCATTTTTATTAAATTCGCTAAAATAGTTTTCCACTTTCCACTTGCCCCGGCTGCTGCTACAGCTGCAGGCCGTTGCCTCGGCTAAGTAGCTGATGTTGTGGGCCTTAAATAACTTAAACCTGAACTTAAACTTTGCAGCAAACTTCCGTGTAGCATGGACCACTGCATTAATGAGATTCGAGGCAAGTTGTGACTACATTTTTGGACAGAGATGGCAGGGTAAACAAGTAGGAAGGAATAATTGAACCAAAAACTAACACTTGTCAGCAAGAGATTAATTAATTTCATTCTTAAAAATTTTTAAAGATTTTTTCCAGTGTGTTAGATATACTTTTTTTTATACCCTTGCAGGGTATTATAATTTCAGTCAGAAGTTTGCAACGCAGTGAAGGAGACGTTTCCGACCCTATAAAGTATATATATTCTTGATCAGCATCAACAGCCGAGTCGATCTAGCCATGTCCGTCTGTCCGTCCGTCTGTCCGTCTGTCCGTCTGTCCGTCTGTCCGTTTCTACGCAAACTAGTCCCTCAGTTTTAACGCTATCTGAATGAAACTTTGCATATAGTCTTCTATATACTCTCACTGCTATATATGTCGGAACGGGCCGGATCGGACGACTATATCATATAGCTGCCATACAAATGTTCGATATATTTTTAGAAAAAAAATTATAACTTTGTTGTTTTTCAACATTTTGGCACCATTTTTTAGATATGACCATTTTATATTAGTTTTGAATTTTGGTTAAAATTTTATGAAAATCGGACGACTATATCATATAGCTGCCATAGGAACGATCGGGAAATTAATAGAAAAAAATGATATATTCGTTGTTTTTCAACGTATTTTCATCTACTCCGGGATATAAGCTTATTTTATTATTCTAGAATTTTGGTATAAATTTCATAAAAATCGGACAACTATATCATATAGCTGCCATATAAACCGATCGGTAGATGTATACAAAATGTAAAGCTGGGAATGCAAAACTGTAACTGTCAAACTGTAAACATAATAAGTATAGGTAAAATGTAATGAAATAATATCTGCAAGGGTATACAAACTTCGGCGTGCCGAAGTTAGCTTCCTTTCTTGTTTTATTTTAATATCGAATTTGGCGAATATGAGCTGGACAATTACATTATAGGACATATCATTTACCTATATTTTCTAATAACGTTGTATTATGTAGGTATTGTTTGGGGACAACAGGTACATATTTTTGTGTCTTGTAACTTTTCCACACTGAATAAAGGTGCACAGGAAGGGATATCCCATGGAGTTGCATGCCAAAACGTTGACCGCAATGCATTTATGTACAAAGTTCCTACTGTGTTAATGCCTGTTAAATACTGTTCTTAATTCCCCAGTGGTTCCATTGTTCGGTTATTAGCACCAGATTTTAATGGGCTCAAAGTATCAGAGTCCCCGAATGGCCACAGGCTTAGAGTTCCTCAGAAATGAGGTTGCCTCCTAATGAAGAGCTAGGAAATGCTCAGTCAAGTGAAACGGACTATTAGTAAAATAGTATTTAAATGAAGCATAAACATATATTATAGAGAAATTATGTAGTATATGGAATGCACTATTGACAATAATAATAATCAGCCATAATCCCCTACAGGGTATCGAACACTTCAGATCGGGCCTACAGTAATTGGACTCCAACAGCTTTAAACTTTATTTGCTCGTTAAATTTTCAATTGTTTTCCATGCTGCCAGGCCAGCCAGCCACCATATCTATGTAATTAAAAACTATTTGCACACAAAAGTTTATAAAAACACAAACCAACAACAACTACAAGTGCGGCAAATGAGAGACCCACAGCAAAGTTGTTGTGCGGTAATTAGTGTAACTGTTCAGTTAACCACATAAACTGATTTCGGTTTCGGGGATTTTTGCCATGGCCTCGGTCGTCACACATTTTGGCCAAATACCATAATTGAAAACATTTAAAGGGCCTTGAATTATTACTTTGTTAATGTTATTGTTTGCTGTCGCATTGCCAGAGCAATAAATTTAAAATTTCTACTCAAACGGTTGAGCAATGATTGGTGCAAACTTTCTGGGCTGGGGATACGGAATATAGAGCGTGCACGGAACATGGAAGGTCCTCCCTCGCCTCGCCCTTTGAAGCGGCAGCAGCTATAACATAATAATTCAAAGGGGGTGGGATTTTTGGGTATGGGTGTGAGGCTGCTCCTGCCTGGTGCCTGCTGCCTGCTGCTGGAAACTTTATCTTTGTCGTGGGTTCTGTCAGGGAATTTCGCGTGAATTTCGTATTCATTCGAGTGCAAAGTTGAAAAAGGCCAAACCCAGTTCAGTCCGAGGGGGTTCGTGTCTAATCGGACTGCCGCCATGAGATGATGCATGGATTATATCGTTTGGAAACAGAACAACCATTGCGACACTGCAGGAATTAAAACCAAATGTTGCGGGGCTTAACGTTTCGGGGATTATGTTTGAACGTTTAATACCAGTTTGCAGTAATTTCATTAGAAATATGGCCAGGCGCCTAAATCTAATGCTTGTTTCAAGGATCAAATAGTGCAAATAATTAAAATAAATTTAATTAACATATTTCATTTGAAAGTCAAGGTAATTATAAAATAACACATATAAAACCTACTTCTTTCAGGCCTTCCAGAATCATTATAAACCTTTTTTTCCAGCTTGACTTTGCAATCTCTATAACTATTTTATCGCCAACTAATTTGACAGAATGTTTCCATAGCATCTGGGAGAGGAAAAAGTAATATTCTCAGGTATTAACTAAACGAATGCCACACGCCATCCTTCCACCGTTAATACAATTTACGATCTTTGCTTTGCGCCATCACTTGTCCCACCTTTCCACCCAATCGTCCACCTCCCTTCCAGGTAACACCCAATTACAACTGGTTAGCATTGCTTTTGGGATTGGTTAACCCGATTAGCTGGAGCACTGCTGCCCTGGATCCCATTAAGTTGGCTCGAACATATAAAGTTTGGGGGAAAACGGCAGGGCCGTGGGGAGAAAATCTGAGCCACGTGCGGGGGTGGAGAGCTGGCCTAATTAAGCGCCGTTCTGGACAGGCCAACAGGCAAGTTAAATACACACACACACAGAACCATTTAATTTGTTTGCGCGATTTCTTTTATTATTAATTACATGCGGTACACATAAATTTCACTTCACTCCTCGTTTTTGGCAACTTTTTCGTTATTTATGTGGTCTCTGATAAACAAAAAAAGTCAGCCAACTGGAAAAATGGCGATCCCAAAGCAAATATGGTGCTTACATGCCGAAAGCTTTTCGAGGTTAGATTTGGTACGATGTACACTCGAGTTCCGGACGGGATAACCGCCCCCACAAAGTGAAGTGAGAGCATCTGTAGAGAAGGTACATATTTTACATGGGATTCGTATTCATTATTTTTGTGCGTATGCAAAAATGTTGTATTTTACGGTTGCTGAAACTTGAGTGTTTTCCAAGACTTCACTTGCGAGATTCATTTACAAACAAGAGTGCAGATTGAAAGCATGTACATAATACCTCAACATTTAATTAGAGTCTTAAAAGTCTTAAAAGCGAACACTGAATAAAGAAAATGGAAACTTTTACACATTTTCTTGGTTTTTAAAAATCAATGTAGATTGTGCTAGCTGAGATAAATTGTTGTTTAAGCACATAATATAAGTATTAACTAATACAAAACACAAAAAAAACAATTCATTTGGTACAAACATAATATCCAAACTGTTGCGATTTTAGTAAAGCTGTCATTTATTTCATTTCTTTAGTAATACTAATATAACTCCTTGAGCAGATCTGCAGCAACCGGAATACTTTCCACTGGCAGCTGGACATTGGGTAGATGGTCAATCGGGCGGCCAAACTCCATGGTGATCGTACCCGGTGGCTGCTTCCAAGTCTCTGACTGCGGCGGTTCCACTTCTCTCACTTGGATCCAAGGCTTCGAGGCCGCCAGCTCCTCCTTTTCCAACTTGGTGTACTCCGATCGCAGTCGCGTGGACTGGCTGAATTGGAAGTGAAGAGGTTTCGGCCCGAGTCGCCGCATACTGAGTCCTATTAGCTTCCGTATGAGTGGGCCAGTCCACTGAACCTGGCACTCGAACAGCTCCAGGTGCCTTAACATTTGCTGGGTGGCCAGGAAACCGTAAACCTTGTTCAGGGTGCATCTTCGGAAGCTGAGTTTTTGACAGATGAGGGGAAGAGGACAGCCGACTCCGTCGTCTACCTTGCAGTTGCTCAGCCTTAGTTCCCTTAGAGCCGTGCACTGGGTCAGTTCCAGCTTGGAGACGATCAGAGGACCCACGAGCCAAGTCCCGTCGAAGGTGAGACGTTCCAGAGCAAACCGCTTGGCCTTGATGATGGCAAGGACCGTGGGCAGCCAGGCCGATTCCGCCCAGAGCCTTTTGGATTCCAGTGAGAGATGCCTAAGGTTCGCCAGATGTCCGATGGCCAGTGGAGTCTTAACTTGGAATGGCAGTAGGAGATCCTTTATTAGCTTGCAGAGTCTGATATTTTCCATGTCGTACACACTTTTGAAATCGCTTGTGTGGCATATCATAAAGTGCTCCAGCTGGGGGCACTTCTGGAGCAGGCCATCCAGCGTCGCCTGTGAGGCATTAACCAGGGAAAGGATGCGTACTTTTTTCAGGACTGGGATGTAACCTTGGATGGAGCAGAAGACGTGCAATATCTCCAGATTGGGCAGCACCTCGCCCAGCAGCTCGATGTCCTCTGCTGCTGCATTCCTACCATCCTCTTCGCCCAAAAGCACACAGTACCGGGTGCTGACCAAGTGGGAAACGTCCATCTGCTGGCAAATGGCATGAAGCTTGGGTATGGAGCTCACTGGGAGACGCAGACCCTTTAGCTTCTGGCTTAGCATCGGGATCACTCGGCGCAGCTCCGCCTCTGCCATGCGGTCCAGCATGGGGATGAAGTGAAACCTCTCCAGGCAGCTGATAAGGTGATTGAAGACGTCGTTGCCATCCGGTGCAAATCTCAGGCAAAGCTGAAGTGTGTGATAGAACTGATCCAGGGAGCTGTTGGTGCTAACTACTATTTTGGCGGTTTCTGGCCTTTGTTGATGGATTTGGTAAGTAGCTAACATGATGACCAATAAGTATTCCTACAAGATCGCAACGTAAATTGTACTGTACTGTACTTGTTCCTTAGCGTGATGAGCTTCTGAAGCTTCTCCAACCCTGCAGGGCTACCGAGCTAGCATTGAGGTTAAGTTCCGTCCAGAGCTTGTTTTATGGCATATGCCATTTTCTTTAGTTAAGTTCTTAGAAGAGACTTATTTCATGTTTTCCAGATCTTAAATTATTCTTTTATAAGAATGTTTAGTTATATTATCTACCATATAATCTCCGATGATTTTTAAAAAGAATATATGTAGGTTAACTTGAACTAGTTCCAATTCAAAGCCGATAACCGAACCAACGCGCATTTTTCGGATTTTATGTCCGGTGATAAGAAATATGGGTAATATCCCTTTAAAATATTCAAATATTTCCTGTCTATTTTAAGGTTACTTTGATATTATTTGGTGAAGGAGTCATTTCCGACCCTATAAAGCACATATATTCTTGATCAGCATGAACAGGCGCTTTATTCTGGTCATGTTGGAGACAAATAAAAAAAATTCCAAAATTTTTTCAAAAATTTGATAAGGGGTTACATCGTTAAAATCACCGAAAATCGGCAAAAATTTTGATATCTTAAAAAATTAAATTTAGTATGCAGATTTAATAACCTATTAAAAACTAACATAGAACATCTTTCCGATTTAAAATTAATGCATTTTTGTCTTAGTTATGATAGATTCCTATTGCAAGAGTATATAAATTTCGGCTTACCGCAGTAAGTTCTCTTCTAATTTTATTTTCGTTGCTACATAAATAAGAGGTATATAATTAAGTAATTAATTTAGAAAGGAAGACATACTAAGCGAGCAGTCGATCTTCAGCAAACCACAAGTGATTTGTTGTAAAGTTTTAAGGATCGCTGAGCGACCGTCTGGGACGTCTTGCTAGTGGCTCCCAAAATATCACAACGGGAAGAGTAGCGGGAGTATAAAGAAGCCACTATCTCCAGTTTCAGTTTTCTTAGTTGACCAAGTCGTTTCTTGGAGACATGAACTCCAGATGTCCACAGATTCCTCAAAACCAAGCATCTTGCCGGGCAGCAACTGAATACTTAATTTCGCGTTACATTAGAAATAAATATGGGGGATATGGTACCAAAGAGACTTGTCAATTTTTCGCGAATGAAATTGTATTATTTTTCTGTCAACTGTCAACGAACTGTGTTTTTTTTTTTTTTGACCTGTGATGCTTTCGACACTTTTGTTAGCTCGAGAAAGTGGAACTTAGCGATGACGCTGAGGGCGTACCTGATGGACGGTCTGAAAGTGGCGGCCATAATGGCACTGAGCGACACCACGGCCCAGCTGACCGTAGAGAAGGTACCACTTCATAAGTGGAATACCGCCCGAACGCTAAGGTTTGGAGCTCTGGGCCTCGTGTTCGCAGCACCGGTGTTGCGGAGCTGGTACTTTTTCCTGGACAGCAAGGTGCCCAAGGAGCTGCCGATGGTGCAGCGAGCCATTCGCAAGACGCTGCTGGACCAGGTCGTCTTTGCGCCGCCCTATGCCTTGGTCATGTCCTGCCTAGTGCCGATGGTCAACGGCGAGTCTGTGGAGGATATCAAACGGCGCCTCAGGGACAGCTACTTCACCATTCTCGGGCTCAGTTGCATGATCTGGCCGTTTGCCCAGTTTTATAATTTCACCCATGTCCCGATCGCCTACCAAGCCATCTATGTTCAGGCAGTGGCGCTTCTCTGGAATTGCTACGTATCCGTGGTGCTCAACAAGAAACCGCGATAGCAGCTTGAACAAGCGATAAGTTGGTCCCTTTCGTCTGTAATTAAAAATGTCAATTCCAGTTCGATTGAAATTGTCAAAGTATTCCGACTTGTTTTGTGTCCAATCTTTTCCATATGCCTGTGTAATGCCGGTGGATCGCCAGTTTATAGTAATGGTTGTTTCCTTACGTGTCGCTTAGCAGTATACGTACGTCATTTGTTCAGATTCTAATCGGTGTTGATTTATTATTAAGTTTTAAGGTTTCTGCTGTCGGCTGCCCTGGAGCCAGTGTCCGTTAAAGATAAAATGCCATTTCTCTGCCCGATTTCTTTCATTAAATTTTGGAAAAAAAAGCAAAAAAGGGAGGAGGAAGAAGCTCTGGCTTTTTACGCTCGCCTGACCTAATGTCATTTTAATTTCCATGTATGTATTCACGCCCGAGGCGCCTCCCACCCAGATAACCCCTTCTTTCAGTAGGGAGCCAGAGTCAAAAGTGTCACTGGCTTTTGTGGGTAGTCTGACAGTTGAAAAATGAAACGCCGGCCCGACCATGATGTGGCCACAAAAACTGGCTCCATGTGAGATTCCTGCCCTTCATCCGCTTTCGGTTTCCTTGGCGCCTCGGGGGCCGTGGATCCGCCCGTATTTATGTGACGAAATTAAGCCGAAGAGAGGGTGTTTTCGGTGGTACAGAAGGGACGATGGCCAAAAGCATTCGGCCAGAAGCCGCACATGCTTGTCGCATGTTTAAGCGCATTAATTAGAGGGCATAACTTGTCATTTATTGGTTCATAGCATTCAGCAAATATTAGCAATTCCCCCGTTCCAAGCTGAACACATGCATAATCGAACAGTTCAAATTGTTGTCACACACACTCGGGGGATAAAAGGAAACGGGTGCACAGCGAGAAAGGGCCATGGAAAAGATATAGAAGCTACTGAATTGATTAGGAAAACAAATGGAATATTGGAAATTAATTTTTTGTATAACGTTTTTATGTATTTATATACATTATTTCTTTTAAACTATTAAAAGTGATTTTTTTTTTGTATTCTAGTCTATAGAAATGAGCTCAAACTAAATCCAAAGGACTCTTTTTACAAACATTTAAAACAAAAAATCTAAATTTTAATATATCTGACTGGTTATCATTATGAAACTGAAGAATAACACCCTTGCTTTTCATGATTTTTATCTGTGTAGGGCCTGCTGTGGCAGGGGGAAAAACACGGCAAGCTTAGGCCAATGACGCCGGCCGGGGGTTCCCGACTACGGTGAGGCATTTCCCATTGTTGCGAGAGAAATTCACAAGCCGCAACCATTTGCATTCCCTTTCCCAGGTCCCCCTGCCTGCTCGCATTTTTATTCCGCAAAGGAACTCCTCACATGGCCGGAGGCTGTTTGGCAAAACGAGAAGAAAAGTAAAAATGGAATCATAAATTCCAGCTCCTGCATTCCCCTCGTGGGCCTCCCTGCCCCCGCATCCAGCTTCCGACCTACATCAGCAGCCGTCGCACATTTTATCAATGGTTGCACGTTTGCGTGTGGTTACCCTTTAGCTCCGAGTGGTCACATTGATTCCACCATGGTCTTGGTACTCAATGGTAACCCGATAGCAACTGATTTCTGACAAGGGTTCATGATGGATTGATGACAGCATACTGATTAGGCAGTGGGGCGGTAAATCTAACATTTCAAAGCGAGTGGATCAATAAGTAATATATTTTAAAGGATTTAGGATTTTAAAGAAATTATTTTTACATAATAAATACATTTAATTTTGGTTTTACTAGTTTCAGAGCTTATATTAATAAAAACTTGTATTTGAAAATGTTTTGAAGTTCCTTTACCCTACGGAATAGCAAGTGTTTTTGGCTTAATATACTTCAGAAATTTGTTACTAATTAAAACAGTTTCTAATTGTTATTTGCAAGCTTTAAAGGGAATTGATTTGAATAGAATTTCTGGCAAAGTTTTGACAAAAATCAAATACCTGATGTTCCCCCTTTATTTATAATTAAAGTAAGTTTTTCGAACATGGAATGCCTGAAGTTCTAAATAGTTTACTAATTTGGTACAAGTCTTGTTAGCAATCAATCCAGCACTGCACAGACAATGCTATTATAGCCTTAAACACCTTGCTTGCAATAGTTTTTTAATTTATCAAATTTCTTGAAATAAATTCGAATGCCTTTTGCATAAGTAAACCTCATTAAAATCGATGGAAGAAAACTTAATGAACTCCCCTGCGCTCCACTCCTCAGGGCATTCAATTGTCGCATATCGATCTATTTTGCTTGTTACAACCGAGCCTTATTCCTTGTTTTATTTTCCTTTTTTTTTTGTTGTTGTTGTTTGAGGCAAATGGCGACGCGCCGTGTCGCTCACTTAAGCGTTCAACGTTCGACGACAGTGGGACGACTTGGACTTTTTGTGGCATTCTGCTCGCGCACACAACAATTACAGGGCTTAAGTGCGGAGGGCGATGGGTGGGCGTGGCGCAGGGACGAGCCCATTTAGCACTCGACTGGCTTCGATTGCTTTAAAGCCGTTTTCTCCCACCCGCAGGACTTTGATGGTCTTTTGCCTGCGTGTCTCCTGATTGACGATTGTTGTCTTTCTGCCGTTGTTATTGCTCATAATTTACACACATGAATAAACAAATACATAACAATATCCAGGCGAGGTTAGGCCCAATATCGATGGCGGTTGCTCATTACGCACTTGATGCGAAAACGTGGCCCAAACGTCCGCATGTGGGTTCATTAAGGAGCGAATATATGTACTCGTCCAGGGCTCTATTCAGTGTTTGAGTGAATTTAGCATTTATTTTGACTAATTGAAGAGTGTGAAAACGGATATTCTTATCGAAACCAGTGTCATTCATTTCTGGGAACTGCAATTGTCACAGGGTACCTTAAAGCTATCGATTTTCAGAGTGGTTTTTGCTATTAATTGAAATTCATTGAATTCATTATGAATTTAGTTTAAATACAGAAGACTTCAGTCCTTTTTGGCCATGAAATCTATATCCCTTTCCTTGGCACAGGTTACTCAAAGCAATAGATTTTCAGAGTAGTTTTAGCAATTAATTGAAATTCATTGGAAATTATTTGAATTTAGTTTAAATACAGAGGACTTCAGTTCTGTTTTGCCATGAAATCTATATCCTTTTCCATGAAGTTCCTTCAATTTACACAATTTATAGTTTACCATATATAGTTTTATTTAAGTGTGATATATTAATAAGGAAAGCCTTCCACTTGACTTTGTTTTTAGATTTTAAAAGATTTTACTTTACAAAAAAGGAAAAGAGTGATATTGAGGGAATCCATCTTTTTTTTTTTTGCTTTTTAAGACACTTTTCGGTTAATTATAGACTCATTTTTTCTGTCTAGACATATTATGTATCTAGTATACATAATTATTCATATACCAATTTTTTGCGGTATTCTGAAAAAGGGTCTCTGTTATCCAAACATATTGGTTGCCTGGGAAAACTTATGCTTGGCCATTTCGACAATCCAGAGTGAATTAATTACGTCCCCTAGCTATTTATTAGTCTGGAGTACCGCCTCGCCTCCAAATTGAGAAAGTATACTTGGAATTTATTAAAGCGAGTACAGGGTTCGGGTATTATTTTGTGATTCCTGAGCTAGAGCGTGAAATTTATGGTCTCTCAACGAATTCGGCTAATGGCTGTATTAGCGACGCCAACTCTTTGGCTCCACTTAGCGCAGTTATTTAATTAAAGCCCTGCCTCGAACCTCTGGACCCCGCCCACCGCCCTAGCCCTGCTTTGGCCGGGCTTTTGCCACTCCGACATTTATATGTTTTGGCCATAAATAAATTAAACGTGACATTTGACCGCCATTTGTCTTGGGAGCCGTTCTATGGTAAATACTTGTATCTCTTATATAAAACATAGTTGTGTCGCTGGATCTTCTGCTGTTTTGTATGCGGTCCATTGTCCTGGCATAATTAACAGAGATGGACATGGGCGTGTCCCTTCCTTTTGACCTTGGCCAGTGCGCTGATTGATGGCTTAAGTGTTATTTGAGTGTCTACTTATTTCTGTTCTCGCTCTGTCCCATTGTTTTTCACCGAATTTTCCCCCATGTTCCGCCCCTTT